ATAGTTACTTACCACGTTATCACCAATAATGCTGGGTCCTTTGTTCCTGTACTGGGATGGTATATGTCAAACTTATCAATGTTTCTTTTGGCATATACGCACAAAAGTTGACGCCAATTTCAACACAGAGGTTAGCCTGTGTTAAAATTGGCGTCAACTTTTGTGCGTATATGCCAAAAGAAATTATTGGCTCAGACGAGGAAAAGGCCATCATGAAAGCAGTGCAACAAAGTTTGCCGAATGCCACTCTGCTTCTGTGTCAACACCACCTAGAGCAAAATGTCAGAAGGTATCTGCAACATAAAGTAGGAGTAGCTGATCAGTTAAAAAATGAGATAACTTCTTTCATCTTTGGAAAAGATGGATTGATTAACTTGAAAGATCTTGTTGATTTTGAACTTACATCCATGAAAATGTCTAACAAGTTCTTGAACATACAATCCTGGCAAAAATTATTGTGGACACTGGGTGCGTCAAACAAAAATAGATGTGTTTCTACAGAATTAATCCCCAGAAAATTTCTCCCCCTCTTACCCCCAATTCAATGTTGGTAAAATTAAACTTTTAAAATTTAAATGCGAGAAACACAACATTGAATAGGGGGAAGGGGGCGACAAATTTCATGAAAGAACGTCTCAATGTTAATATTGGCGACTTGGCGTTAGAAAAGCTAAGTGTCCACATAATTTTTGCCAGGATCGTCTGAAAATAACCTAAAAAAATATTGATAATTTTCACCCAAAGCAGGCCTTTTACTATAAATTTTTGATGTTTCCATTGCTTTAGGATAACAAACAAATTGTTTAAACTGGTTTAATTTTTTTTAAAGCATATTTATAATTTTGTGGGTGAGCAGCTTTTGGCCATGATATATGCTTTGCTGAACTAATTATGCAGACCCAGTAAGACGAGTTTTCAACAAAAGTACTTTATTAAGTGCATAGCAAATTCTCAGCAAGTATAACGACTATAGGGTTATTTTAATGTATATGCATCCGAAGCGCTCACTATTTTTAGATCTTTTATAACAAACGCAGCCCAACAGCGACTGTAGAGCGCCTTTAATCTAACAGTGACGTCACACGGTACACGGCTGTGTAGCGTGGTGATAAAAATATTTAAGCTGTGTATTATTCACTATACGCTGCACAAGTGTGTACCGTGTGACATCACTGTTAGATTAATGGCGCTCTACAGTCTCTGTTGGGCTGCGTTTGTTATAAAAAATCTGAAAATGAGCGCTTAGGATGCGTATACACTAAAATAGCCCTATATAGTCTGTTATATTTAGCGTGAATTTGGTTACACTACACAGCCGTGTACCGTATCAACTCACTAAACTTTTAAAATAACATTACTTACACATTTATACAGTTTTATACAGTTATATTGTATGAATACACAGGAATATGATGCTCCATGCTACAAACCCAATGCAAAATGTTGCATCCTAACAAAGAACCTGAATTTTGAAATGCATGTATTACCAATAATGCGAATGATTCATGCTCAGGAACTAAAGATAGATCTGCTTGGCTTTCATTTATGAGCTAAACAAACCTCACATTTTTTGTCTGAAAATTTTGCACTCAGGTTTGACTAAGTACTAAGATATCGTCATCCTCTACAATGTTCAATAATTTGTTATACGAAAATATTGCTTTGTAGAGTTGCAGACTAAGTTGTAATTGTATAAATCCAGATAATATGTAAAAAGCCACTTGACATGTAATGTGATAGGTGACACTTAAACATAGATCGGAAAGTTAAAAAAAACTAAATATAACCTGATTTACTAATTGTTTGCCCCTTTTGCTAAACAAACAAGCCTATTTTATCATTGGATCTAGCCTTAAATTCATGAAATCGGACGGTTTGAAATATGTGATAATTTCAGACAATCCTGGCAAAAATTATTGTGGACACCGCGTATGGGGTGCCAGTCCACCAAAATTATATAAATACGATATTATTCATTATTTTTCGCATTATTTCGATATTTTGAATTCATTGTTTAGTATTATTCAGCTTATTTTTTATTATTCAGCTATTTTTTGTTATTATTCAGCTTTTTTGTGTTATTATTCAGCTTATTTTCAATTATTCAGCTAATTTTTATTATTATTCAGCTAATTTTTATTATTATTCAGGTTATTTTGTATTATTATTCAGGTTATTTTGTATTATTATTCAGGTTATTTTCAATTATTCAGCTAATTTTTATTATTGTTCAGCTTATTTTTTATTATTCAGCTAATTTTTAGTATTATTCAGCTAATTTTTAGTATTATTCAGCTAATTTTTAGTATTATTCAGCTTATTTTGTGTTATTATTCAGCTTATTTTTCATTATTTAGCTTAATTTTTCATTATTTAGCTTATTTTTTTATTATTTAGCTTATTTTTCATTATTTAGCTAATTTTTATTATTTAGCTTATTTTTCATTATTCAGTTTATTTTTCATTATTCAGCTTATTTTTTATTATTCAGCTTATTTTTTATTATTTAGCTTATTTTTAATTATTCAGCTTATTTTTCATTATTCAGCTTATTTTTCATTATTCAGCTTATTTTTCATTATTCAGCTTATTTTTCATTATTCAGCTTATTTTTCATTATTCAGAGGTTTGGCCACTGCACGGTAGCACTTGTTCGGAATGGCGGCAGAAACCGAAAGTTTGAAGGAAATCATATATGATAAACTACTATCAGTTCGGGACCGTTTAATGCAAGCTCATGCCGATTTGGATATGAATGACGTATTGGAAATTCTTGAGGTTCTAATGGAATGCGTTGTCTTATTGGATTCGTGTGATAGGGTTTCTGAACAGGTTTTTAACTTTTTAATGCAAGCTCATGATGTGTTGTCTAGGAACATTAACATTCACAGAGGCATAAATGAAAGCAGATTGAATAACGTTGACTCAGTAGGTCAACCTTCGTTTAATATTTCAAAAGAGCAGATTGAATATCTACCATTAGATATTGCAACTTTTCAGTGGCAGATATGAGCGATATCCTGAAAGTATCAAAACGAACTGTAGAACGACGCATGAGTGCGATCTTACAGGAATGAATAGATTTACAGCAATAGCTGATGAACAGTTGGACAATGCTGTGAGAGACATCAAAAGTACCTCACCTGATTGTGATTCAAAACTTCTTGCTGGATATCTGCGGGCAATGCATATAAATGTTCAAAGAAGCCGCATTAGGGAGTCACTTACTCGCGTCGATGCTTTGGGAATAGTTGCTAGATGGTGCAGGACAGTCCATCGTAGAGTGTACAATGTTTCCCGTCCTTTTGCTCTGTGGCACGTAGATGGAAACCACAAGCTTATCCGCTGGCGCTTTGTGGTGCATGGCTGTGTCAATGGATATACTCGTATACCCGTGTTTCTGAAATGCAGTAACAACAACAAAGCAGTCACTGTTCTTAACCTATTTACACAGGCTGTCGATGATTGGGGTCTCCCATCGCGACTAAGATGTGATAAGGGTGGGGAAAATGTGGACGTTGTCCGCTACATGCTTAATCACCCAATGTGTGGGCCAGGATGAGGTTCAGCTATAACCAGAAGAAGCGTTCACAATCAAAGAATAGAACGCCTGTGGCGCGACGTGTACCAAGGTGTATTAAAGTCTTTTTACATCCTTTTCTATTCATTGGAAGATCATGGGATCCTTGATCCTGGAGATGAAGTTGACCTATGGTGTCTTCACTTTGTCTTCACGAAAGAAATCAATTATTCCTTATCTCGATGGGTTGAAGGATGGATTAGGCATCCGTTACGAACTGAGCGCAACTGTAGTCCTTTACAGCTTTATATCAGAGGTATGCGTTGGGATCACATTGCAGTCCCTCAACCAGAGGACACCAACTGGGATCTTTATGGCATTGACTGGACTGGTCCTGTACCTACAGAGAATGAAATAACGGCAACCACAGTTGACGTGCCAGACACAAATTTGCCTGTTACTGAGGAATTAAGAAATGAACTGAATGAAAGGTTGACTGAAATAAACAATGGCAATGATTTTGTTGAGCAATACTACGTAGTGAGAGATTGTGTTAGACAAATGGCTACATACTAGCTAACTTATCAAATTTAAATTTTAGCAATAAACGATCAACTTCCTCAAAACATATTTTTTTAGTGAACAGTTTCCAAATATCATGGCAGCTTTTCTACTACTTTGTACAGTATAACTACAAGCACAATTAAAGTTGCAATAAATGTAAATGATTTAACAATGCAATCTATCCAACTACACTAAGATGCTGTTTACATAAGCCAGGCTGGCCCAGTTTTTATGTATGGCAGACTTTGTGTACAACTACAGGTTTTTCTGTTACTTAATCAACAATAACTTTATAATCGAAACAGTAATTTAAATGAACATTTTCGATTGTAATAAGGTATTTTGCTAACTAAATAATTGAGCCAATCTTGGCTAGAGTGACTTAGACAGGCTTTCGTGCACATGTAAACTGAATTTTTTCCACAAAAGGGCCAGTCTGGCTCATCTAAACAGCCCCTTAAGAGATATATATAGATATATATATATATATATATATATATATATATATATATATATATATATATATATATATATATATATATATATATATATATATATGCATATATATTATTGTACATATCTATCTATCTATCTATCTATCTATCTATCTATATATATATATATATATATATATATATATATATATATATATATATATATATATATATATATATATATATATATATATATATATATATATAGCATATAGCATATAGCATATAGCATATAGCATATAGCATATAGCATATAGCATATAGCATGGCTGCTATGTCTACATTCTTAGAACAAAACTTATTATTAACAAAACAAAACAAAGTAACTAGAATATACATAAACAACCATAAAGGAGGCACACAGTGAACATGACAGTAAAATAACATTACTAACCTAGTTTGCACATTAGGTTAGTAATGACAGGGATTGACAAAAGTGCATTTCTACTATAGCGTTTTTCGGTAGTAAAAGCTCAGTCCTTAATTGAACTTTTAAAACTCAAACAGCATCAAATTTTCACAATATGCTCTGACAAATTGTGGCAAATGTGAATAATTAACAGTAAAAGGAAGATATTACTTGGGCATTGTGTATTATGTACGTCATTATAAAACTGTTTTAATTAAAATTGGTTATATTTTTGCTCTGTCAGAAATGTATAGTTTGAATGCAGGAAATACAATTTCACACAGACAAAATCAATAATTCTGAGGGGCTAGAGGCTATTGGTAGAAGTATGGGGGTACGTAGTAGATTAAACAAGGTAGTAGACTAAAATGCTTGAATTAATCCCTGAATGTTAATAGTCATGATAAATTGTCTGAACAATTAATTTTGGTAAGATTGTTAAACTTTATGACGAATCTTTATGACACAACTTTCACAGTCTAATTGTTCCAAAAAGTTCCTTGTAAAAAGTTCCTTTCGTCATTATATGGTGGTGTGCTTTTAACAAAATTTCCATATTCTTTCCATGTATATAATCTCACGATTGCTTAAATTTGGTACGTGGCTGTGCTTTTTGCCACTGGTCTGCAATGACAATGACATGCTTTTAAAAAGGTTTATTTATAAAAATGTGACTGCAATTTGTGAGTTCTATATTATCATGTAGTGTTGATTATTATATTTAGTAATAAATCTGTGTATATAACATAGGTATATAAATTAATATAACGCAGCGAATGCGCGCCAAGCAGTATAAACACAGCTGAAATACGATATTAAAATCTTGAATGTGCCATATGATTTAATTATGTTTTAGGATTTAAAGCAGCAAATGCGCGCCAAGCAGTATAAACGTGGCTGAAATACGATATTGAAATCTTGAATGTGCCGTATGATTTAATTATGTTTTAGGATTTAAAGCCTTTAAAAATGCTTTGTCATTTGTATTTGTACTTGTACTGCATCACAAGGCAGTGTGTAAGTGAACAGATTCCACATGTGAGGTTCTTCGATAAACATTATTAAACACGCAAATTTAGCAAGACGCACACTCGCACATGTCAAATGTCACCTGCATGTCATTGTCATTGCCCTTTAACCCCTGGTCTAAATCATATGATTATTGAAGCAGGGCCGTTTTGACCTAGCACCGTATTTGTAGGCAAGTTGTCTATACAATTTTATATACTAGATATCACAGCCATACCTGCCATTTTGATCTTTTCCTCGCGTTAGATAAGTTGATAAGTACACTCATTCTTGTTAGCCATCGTACTTGTTCGGCTGTTCCTCTTTCGATACGAAACTTCGAGCGCCGAGTTATCGTACGGCACATTCAAGTGTATAAATTATGGATGATTCCAATTAATTACAAATATTTCTTACTCTTATTCTTTAAAATATTAAAGATTTGGGAACAAATCTATACCAAGGCAGCATTCACTACCCTGTGGGCAAACTAGTTGTAAGAGGCCCAAGAGATGAACCTTGCGGGACGCCACTGCGAACTGGTAAGAGATCTGAGGTTGAGTGGCCAATTGAGACGAGTTGTTTCCATTCTGTCAGGTAGGATCTGAACCATTGTTGTGTTGCATCTTTAAGTCTGTAGATAGCAAGTTTCTGTGGGAGAAGTTCATGGTTTATCAGGTCAAAAGCTTTCCGGAAATCTACTAAAAATATTCCACTTAGTTCACCTTTGTCCATGCTATGAAGTAACGTGTTTGTAAGTTGCAGTAACATTGTTTCACAGGAATGAAGGGGCCGTGATCCAAATTGTGAGCTTGTAAGTAAGTTGTATTCGTTAAGATAGCTTATGAGATGTAATCCGTAATAGCGTTCCACGATTTTTGACAGTACTGACAACACAGAGATTGGTCTATAGTTATCTTTGTCTTGGCGTGAACCCTTTCCACAAAATTACGCAAGGCATCAAAATTAGGCTGGTGATGTGCAGATTCTTTGGTAACAGTGTTGGCAATTTGGGAGAAATGGGAGTTGAAAATGTTCGCGATTTTTTTTGGATCCGTGATCAAATCAGTGTTATCAAGTATCTTATTAGGTGTTGCTTTGTTCATATTGAGGTCCACTGCATCTTTCATCAGTTTCCATAGTTTCTTAGAGTCATGTTTGTTTTGATAGATTTCTTGTTTGAAGTAATTCTGTTTTGCTTGTTTTATTTGGGTTGTTATTTTGTTTCGTTGGTGTGTGAAAGTTTCCCATGGTATAACACCGCTTCGTGCTTGCAATTTCAATTGATTTCGTTGTCTAATTCCAGCGAGAATTTCTGATGTCATCCACTTTGGAAGCTGTAAAGACTTAACTTTCTTCGTCCGCAGAGGTACATGTCTATCAACGATACTTTGAAAGATTTGATACCACTGTGCGAGTGCATTGGAAGGGTCATCATATGTTTCAATGGAGGACCATGGGGCAGAACGTAGATCGTTTCGGAAATTGACTTCATTAAGGTTAGATAGTGATCGGTATTGAA